CCACTCAACTTATCCAAGGAAATCATAAGCCGAATTTCTTTGGAGGGTGGAATGTTGAATATGTTGATCGATATTACTTTATTATTTATTTTGGCAATTAATTTATTCTTTATATATCAATTTGTATTTAAATTTAATCGGTGAAAATTCTATATTAACAATTTTTTTAAATCATTTTAACGTTACATTTTTTTTTAATGTCAATTTGTATTTTCACACAAATAGAAAAAAAAATAAATAAGGAGAATAAAAAATGTAATCCGAGAGAAAAGAAAATAAAATGCAAATTATTATAAAAAATTAAATAAAATTATAATCAATATAAAATGTGATATAATTATGTATCAATAAATATACGTGGATCTTAATTCAATTTCAAGAGGTGTTCTAGCAATTTATATGTAATTCGACACTGATTCAGCTTTTAACTCATTTTAGACATTTCAATCATGATGAGAAATGCTCAAATAATTTGAGATAATTACTAAAACTTATAAAGTAAGGTTAATAAAGATTAGTTATAATATAGTTGCTTTTTTCCTAGTGGATATAAAATAAAAAAATTTAAAAAAAAATTATTATCCGATATTTAACGACACCTCCCCCCACACTCATCCTCTCATAATATTTAGACAATATATCATTATAAGCAACAATTTGAAATATGAATAAGTAATTGTATTTTATAAAAATGTGACATAATCAAATCTCTACACTCCAGGTATAATTTATAGGGTAAACATCCTAAAAATGCTCGCATCCCCCCTACCAGTAATTTTCTGAGGGTGTCTATTCTCCATTCTCAGAACTGATAAACTATATCCAGTGGCGAGATAAATGTCTTTCGATCTCATAGCGTGTGCGAGAACAATGTTTTTTGATTGGCACCTAAACTGGACATTCATAAAATATATTATGGACTATTTTCTGGGACAATTTGCTTGGTTATTTCTAAATTTTCAAAAAGAATTTACCTTAGCCTTATCAGAGTTCATTCCCAAACAAAGTATTTCCAACATTTTTGAATATTTCCAATGAACTTGCTAAGTCTATATCTATTTTATTTCATGGATTTGGCTATATATCTAAAACAAGGATACTTCAGTTATTTTAGGTCTGTGGGCTTTATGCAAAAAAAAAAAATTAATTCTGAAGCTAAAATAAAAATAAACTGGAAACATGGCTAGAAAATCGCTTTAAAAAAACGTTTTATTTGGAAATGTCATAAGGATAATATTTATATAAAATATCAGATTTGAATAAGTAATCATTTTATCTAATAAAATTTGTTTTTTCTTCTGTAAATAAATATTTTGGCAATTCTCATGTTTAAATCTGTAAAGATGTGTGAAGATTTTTAGCTCAGAATTATGAATATTAGTAATGTTTGTTTTATTTTGGTTTAATCTTAAGAATAAAATCATTTTTTTTTTAAATTTTATTTTTTGTAAAAGTGAAAATTTTGTTCAACAAGCCCTAATACCGGGGTGAGGCAAACCACTTCAAGGGGCATCCTAAACCATTGGTTTTTTAGGCCATAATAAATTGAAATGCATTTTTATTTATTAATAATGATTTGTATAGAATAATTTTATTGTTCAAAATATCATAATACTTATAAATTGAAGCTAATTAAATATAAAACTATTTTAATAAACATTTTTGACATAAAAAAATATGAATTTTAAGGAGAGATTAAGATTTCTTAGCATAAATCCTAAATACATATCATAAACAACCATGAAATTGCCTTTTCAAGATTTTGAAGTTTTTTTCATTACTAACTGCGATAATTGACGTGTCCGCTAGCTCTAAATTGACAAATCATTGTAAAATAATATCTAGATTTGATAAATACTCATAAAACTTATCCAAATTATAGAAGAATGTTTAAACTTTGTTATAAAAATTTAATTTACATATAAATGATTATAACTTAATAACTTAATAAAAATTAAAATTCTGTCATGTAAAAATCTTTTGAAAATTTCATCAAAATTTTATTTCTTAAATAAAATTTTTAGTAATTAATTATTTCAAAATGTATTTTGTCTATGGATGTATATTAATGAAAACTATATTAGGATAAAATTTTAACCTTCTGGTGTATTTAATTTTAAAATGAGATTAAGTAGTTTGCCAAGCCCTGGGGTTTACCTAACCCCAGTCTCCCATATATTTAAATTAAACTAAAGTACGCAAAATGTAAAGAAATAATATATTTCTAAGTAAAATTTCCAAAATATTTTTACTTTATTATAGTTTCCAATGTCCGTGACTTTCAGAAAATTACTATAATTTTTATCATCTTTTGTTTTTTGAATAATAGTATATTAAGTCAATATTTTCTCCAATAATATAGTCTATCTACATTTTGTGATAAACATATTTATATCGCATAGGTTAAATATTTTTTATAAAAATTGATAATTTATTTTTAGCCAAAAAGGATTATAAATTTATAATAAATTTAATTTTCTTTACTATAGTAGCTTTTATGCCAATAAACTGTTTCTTACTTATAATAATAGTATATCCTATCTAGAAAAATAATTTAGCGATGTCTTTGACGTTATATTTCATCGATAGTAAAAATACATTTTGTATAATTTTAATTTTATAATAATTGTCACCAATAATATTATGCATGTGCATTGTTGTTGTAATTAGTAAGTTGGTTTTAGAATGGTTAACGATTAAAATATTACAAAATGCATTAATACATAAAATTGTTATATATAGGCACACAATATTCATCCCTTGTCATTATCTTATAATCCCTGTAATTTGAATTTATGGCAATTTCAAGTTTGTGTCCATTCTCCTTAATTAGACTAAATTAATTTCAAGTAATTATAGAAAGAGTTCTATCTTGTTATAACCAGTTTAATCAGTTATCACATCTTTTCCTTAAAAGTGGCAACACAGTTTGGAAGATGGCCATGTTTATTTCACAATTGGTCACAATTTACATTTGCAAAATGTAAACTTTGTACCCTTAGTTTGGTATAAAAAATTTTTCAAGGCAATGCAGGCTTTAACATCTTCAACTGAAGAAAATGTTCTTACAATTGACAAATATAATATAAATAAGAATGTAAATCTATATTACATTAAGAATCTTGTGACTGAAAACTTAACAAAGAAAAATTTTAAATAAAAAATGAAGGAATTAGGTGGTTGATGTGAAATAAAAACTCGGCTTAAATTATTTATATAATTTAAAAAAATAAAATAAAAATAATTTTAAGGCAGGGAATAGGAGTGACATCTATGAGCAAAATCTTCAGGACTGAGTATTCCTACCTTCCTTCCGTATAAAATACCGAGTTGGTAGTTTTATTTTTAGAAGAAAAATGGGTTCAGATGGAACTATTTTGTGCATTACTAGCATAAAATCATGTATCATTTAAATTTTCTAAAGAGGCCAATCTATTTGACAGCTTTTTTTTAATGATGCACTATTAGATTATAAGAGCATCAAAACTACAGCCGGGATCCATCAAATTTTCAAATAATTCTGCTTATTTGGTATAGAACATAAAATAGGTTTTTAGAGTTTGTTAGGGCGTGTGTGTCTTTTAAAAAATAAAATTAAACGTCAATCACTTCTACTTACAAGTTCTTAATAAAGACAAAATTTTACAAAAAAATATGATCCTCCATACAAATTTGTAAAATAAAATGCATGTGCGAAAGAATAACTCGACCAGTTTAAACCAATCATCGATATTATAACCCAAAATATCTGAGCCTGAACCGTACTAAAAGGCGTTATTCGGAGCCCCTGATTACAGAATCCATCCGTTTCTTTTGTAAAATTTAAATTTCCATATAGAAAGAAGGGAAAAGAAATGATACGAAATAGTTTTCGATCTCGTCACTTGCTGCCTGACCACCAGAGATATGTCTCTCTAAAAGGCTGGATATAAATTTTTCAAAAAGTAGTCAAAATTAGCAAAAAAAAAAAAGAGTAATTCTATCTAAATAAAAATGTCAAGAAAAGTAGAAACTACATCTAAGATAAATAAATTTTTTAAAATGTTTCAGTGGAATTGTCCAAATTTTACAGGGGGGGTGGGATCTTGAGTCTCCTGCGATCTCTCATAAACGTCAAAATTTGGCTCCAAAAACCTTAACACCACTCCCGACAAACTAAATTCCTATCATCTTGCGTAATAGTGATAATATCTTTTTTAATTTTATAAAAGAACCAAAAATAAAAAGGGTAGAATCTACCTAAATTTCTATATTCATCATTAAATATTTTACAAATCTTACGAACCTTTCAGATAATCTTATATAATTTTATTATTAATTTAATTCATTATAAACAAACCAAAAGTTAAAATTAATTTTTAAATTGTAATAATTTTTCGAATCCCATGATCCACAAATAATATTAGATTGTTGGGTTTGAAATTTCTAAAATTCCTGATTAATTTCCACAAGAATTATTCATAATTCAAATACTCTTTAATACAATGATCTACAGTTCTAGATAATATTTGTGACCTTAACCCGGGTTTGGTGAAGAAGAATACTTGCTCAGAAATTCGATTACTTCTATAATGTTATCGTCTCAATCGCGTTGGGATTTTATATAGTTATAATATTTTTTTTGGCAAATTAATTAGTTAAAAATTTATTAGCTGAAAATCAAAAATTTTTTTTTTACAGAGAACTACTTTATCATTACTCAGATATTCCCGCTATCCTGGACACACATTTCAACGGGTGTTCAGTACAGCAAACACGGTTCCTGATATAAACTATCTTACAATCACTATACTTATAATTGTTAAGTAACTAAATAAATGATCAATTTTAATAATATATATGGATACATTTTACAAGCCAAAAAATTTCTTTTATATAATATATCAACGGAAGCGCATAAAGAAAATTTGAAATAAATTGAATGTTGATATATATATATGTGTGTGTGTATTAAATTTCGTATTCCATTGCAGCCACATTGTAATTCCGGCAATTAATGGGCCTTCAAGTTTCGGGAGCATCGAAATTGTAACGCAGATTTTGATGAATTAGATAGGGTCTAGTTGAACGGGGTAAAGTGGTCCTGAGTCCATTTGAAACATACTCTGCTGCTTCATTTACAATTTTTTAATCCAAAATCGAAAAACATTTTATAAGAAATTATTAGTTGTATAATTTAATAAATTTTTTTAAATAGGGAATGGAAAATCATAGCAATGCACCTTGTGGCAAATCTTAAGAATTCTAAATATTTCCTAAAATGATTCCTTAGCAGGTAAAGCATGATCAACAGGAGGCAGCCTTGGAGGGAATTCTTTCTAATCATTCAGAACAAAATTATGGAAATTTAAAATTTCAATACCTATATTTTTCTCTCTCGTGACTAAGAAAACAATGTTAGAATTACTAAAAATAAAATAAGAAATTCCCTAAAATAAAGATTACATTGTTCTAACTGAAAAAATTCTATTGGATATTTATCGATTGATAGAAAATATGGCGTCTTGGGAATAAAAAACTACCAACAGAATAAATAGCGTCTAACTAATAATGTTATGCGTCTTCTTTTAAACAATGTTAAAATAAATTATTGTTAAGGGAATATCCGTTATAACGGTTTAGATTGCGGAGTTTTTGGAAAAATTGAAATGATTCATGTTCATAAAATAAATCGTAAATATCAAGCATAGACAAACATTTTTAATACCAAATAATGTAAGCCTACCTTTTGTTTCCCGGCATCGAATTATGGAAAAACAGGCTAAAGTGACAACGATGATTACCTGAGTGTCATTATTATATAAAATTGAGAAAAAATATAATCATTTTATTTGATATATATTATATATAAAAACCAGTAGAAATCGAGAAATAATTTGCAGCATTTTATATAAAAAAATTCGACCCAGACAGAATTTTTGACGAATATAATTATATTTTTAAAAATAAATGTCATAAATTTTAATTTTTAAAAAACTTTAAATTTATTTTGTAGTAAATAAATGTCTTTTATTTGACACAAAGGCTAATTAATCATTTTGACAATAATTTTTTTTTTCTTTCTTTTTTGTCATTTGGTCTGGAAGGTATTTACATCAATTGTTTTCTAAGGGTTTAAATCTTGACCTAAAAATAAGGAATTATCCAACAAATAAATATAAGTGGTAATATACTCCTAACTCAAAATCGACAGAGTTGGGAATGTCCTCATAAAAAAAGAATCTAGATACAGATACAGATTATTTATGAAAAGAAAATGTATCTTGGATACAGATACTACTAGTATCTTATTAAAAATGTCAAAAAGATAACCGAGTACAAGATACAAAAAGATCTTGTATCTCTAGATACCTCCAAAAATCGATAAGAAATATCGAAGAGCTGAAGAGGTCCAAGCTCAGCATGCAGGATTCTGAAATCACTGCCCATTGTAGAATTACTACTATTATAGAATTCTACAAATGTTACTGATTATTTAAGGAGAATTTACAATTTTTACTATATATTTTTTTTAATTTATTTCATTTGTTTAAATTAGATTTGTCGAATAAAAATTAAAAATTTTATTTTTATCATTTAACGACGACTGGTCCGATATCGGCCTTGTTTATTCTTTAAACTATTTTTTTAATATCAAAATTGCCAGCTGATCTATTGTATTGTCACAATTTATAACCGAACCTAACCAAAACTTTTAAGGAATAATCGCAACATTTATTAAATATAATTCTCAAAAGGTTTTATTGGTTGTTTTATTAGAGGATATCGTTTACAATACTAAACCAAAAAAAAAATATTTTTAATGAAATAGATAGAAAAAAATCAGTGTTAAAATTTTTAGCTTTCATAATTTTGCTCTGAATAATGTGAGATCAACTCCCTAATTTATGCAAAGGTTTCCAAGCTGTATCCTGTAATAATTATCCTTTACCCCCTTTGCTAAGGATTTATTTTAGGGAAATATTCCCAGAGTTTTTAAAGATTGCCACAAAGTGGCATTAACTATGATTTTCCATTCCACATTTTATATTTTTATAAATTATAACTAATAATTTTCTTACAAATTGTTTTTGATTGGATAAAAATAAATGAAGCATCATATATGTTAGAAATGTGTTACATCTAAATATTTATTATTGTAAAGGTTAAGATATATTTTAAAAGGTCACGTTATATATTTTAAAAGGACGTTATTTGTATATTATATTATAACTTTCCGACAGGTAATATTATATTATCGAGGTTGCATATTATTAGAAGTTAAATTGGATAATTATATAAATGTATATATACAAAAGAATTACAAATAAAATTCATTATCGTTTTTTAAACTTTAATCGATTTAATAAAATGGATACAGAATTTCACCCCCTACAAGGAGTTCCTATAAGTTTCATCAAAATCTACGTTATGTATTTGATGCTCACGAATTACGAGGATATTAATTTTCGGAAATTATAATGTGGTTGAAATGGAATAAAAATTCCATGTAACAAATTTTTTTTTTTATCGCATAACACATAATGTATATTTCGAACATTATATTTATTTTTAAATTTCCCTTGGTTCGTTGGTAAATTTAAATTATATAAAAGAAATTTAAGAAAGAATATTATAAATTAATTGGCTTATAAGATGTGTAGAATTATAAAATTTTATCGATCGCTTATACCAGGAACCACGCTTGTACCGAACACCCTTCCAATGGGTGCCGAGAATAGCAGAGATTAATTTAAAAACAAGGTTCTTAATGTTCGAGTCATTGATAAGGTTTTTTCAAATATCTGAGAAAAATGTAACAAATTTAATGTTTAAATTTTTATAAAAGTGTTTACCTCCTTAGACTAACCTGACTGAGACGATAATCTTATAGATGTGATTGATCATCCGAATGAGTAGATAATGATTTCCCTTAGCTTCAAAAGTGTTAAACCCTTGTAGGCTCACATATATCATCTAACTTTCGCCTTTTGTATTCTGAAAATATATATTATAGTATTCGATTCGAATTATGAATATTCCATAAAAAAAAAGTATTCCAACCGAATTTCTAATATTCTTTTACGATTCATGGATCAAAAAAATATTTCAATTTAAACTTAATATTACCTTTTTTGGTTATTAATGAAATCTTCGTTAAATTAATAAATAAAAATTATAGATTATATATAAAGGTTAATAAAATTTAAAAATGTTTAATGCTGAATATAGAAATTTCAGTTCCACTCCCTTTTTTTAGGTTCATTTATAAATAAAAAGATATTACGCGAAATACGAATTTCGTTTATCTTGGGTTAAGGTTTCTGAAACCAATTTTGACGTTTAAGAGGAATCATAGGGGAATTCAAAACCCCCTGGAACATTTAGACAATTCACTGAAACGTTTTAAAATTTATTTTAGATAGATATATTGTAGTTTTTCCCTTTTTTTTGATAGATTTAAACTAATTTTGAATATAATTTTAAAAATTCAATAACTTTTTATAAGCGTGACATATTCCTGGTGCCAGATAGCAAGTGATAAGAACGGAAGCGATAATAACAAAACAATGATTACTAAAATTATTTTGATTCTTTATAAATTGATTGATATGCATGAATGTGTCATTCACGGTAACTGACGTTGATTTGTAGAATCCCTTACGGCCATCTTTACATGACTATGATTATTTTATCCTTAAAAGAGAGTAATCCATAAATAGGAGGACGGGAGTGAAGGAAATTTGATTTCAAAATAATAATTTTTTTTTTTTACTGACCCTAAAAATTGGTAAGAAAGAGAGAAAGAAAGAAAGAAAGAAAGAAAGAAAGAAAGAAAGAAAGAAAGAAAGAAAGAAAGAAAGAAAGAAAGAAAGAAAGAAAGAAAGAAAGAAAGAAAGAAAGAAAGAAAGAAAGAAAGAAAGAAAGAAAGAAAGAAAGAAAGAAAGAAAGAAAGAAAGAAAGAAAGAAAGAAAGAAAGAAAGAAAGAAAGAAAGAAAGAAAGAAAGAAAGAAAGAAAGAAAGAAAGAAAGAGAGAGAAAGAAAGAAAGAAAGAAAGAAAGAAAGAAAGAAAGAAAGAAAGAAAGAAAGAAAGAAAGATAGAAAGAAAGAAAGAAAGAAAGAAATGAAAGAGCTATCAGCTGGAGAGTTCCTGAATTTTTTAGTTCACACGCAGACATTTCCCATTACTCAAAGCTTCAGCAAAGGGAAATCTCCCGCAATTTTTCAATTTCCTTCTTCCTTAATATGTTTTATCTAACTCAATATCATAATAACCATGTGTTTGCATTACTTACCTTTAGGAATTAGGGAAAATTTTGCCTGGACTGTATCATTATATTCATTTTAATACCTAACATAATTATAAATTATATCCTACATATTTCTTTATGATAATTATTTTATTTATAAGGGTTCAAACTTTAAGAAACGGCAATTCATTATCTTTATAACCAGTTATTTGAAAACTTCGCATTGTCTAACGCTCCTCAATATTTTCGAATTACGAAGAAACAATCATTAATTGATTCCTATTTCAACAAATATCAAGCCAAGCATCACATATGATATGGAATAGGTTATTGCGACATGCACCTATCAGATGATTATCATTGATACCCGCCATTGAGAGAATTTTAAAATATCGTGAACCTCTAAAAAGATATCTTTTTAAATGGAAATTTGATATAAAAACGTGGTATCTGTATCTGTAACTTGATTGATTTCTAATCAAAGTATCTGTATCTAGATATTATTTTAGAGATCATCTGTTTTCACACACTTTCTAAGTTACATTTTTGATATACAATTTTTATTATTTCATATGAGCATATAATTTAAATATATATTTATTATTTATATATTAAAAAATATTAAAACTTTTATATAAAAAAAATATATATAGATATCCATTGAATAGTATGTCAGAGTTTATCAATAAACCAGGCAAATTTTGATATTACAATGCAACTCAAGGAATCTGCCATTTTTACTTTCAATGTAATTTTATTTTATTATACTAATTTAGAATTTTATTTTTTTTATTAATATTATTAGTGATGAAGAGGAAGAGGAAGAAGTAATAATCAGTGAAGCATCAAAAAGTTCAGACATTGTATAACCATGGCCAATTTATGAGAGCATATTTTGAAATAATATATCAAAATAAAGAAAACAAATCTCTGATAGTAAAAATGTTTGCTATATCTACCAAAAAATAAGAAAATTTCACTTAGCATTGCCTCAACTTGAAACATTGTAACATTTAAGGGTATGAGATACTAAATAAATGTTTTACAATTATAATTTTAAATTTTAAGAGAAAGAATCAAATCAAACACTGTTAATGAAAAAAACAAACAATTAATACAAAGATTAGTTGATGAATTATCAATGTTTTCAATTAATGGCAAACAAATATTTTAATATCCGGTTTTTTTCAGTACACACCACAGCAGCAAATACAAATTTTAAATAATTTTTTTCAAAAACGAATTTCAATATTATATTATATTTAAAGAATATCCTGATATAAAATTGTTATTCATAAAATACAACACCACAATCCCCTTCAAGCGACCTGATAGAAAGACTTTTTAGTGTAGTGAGAAATGTCTTACAAATAGACGCTGATGCCTTAATGACCAAAATTTTGAAAATATTTTATCACTGAAATCTAATAATTATTTATAATCATTTTAATCATACATTTTTATATATTACATTCAAATCTAAAATTATTTTAGTCACATTTTAATAATTGTGATATCGAGTCAATAAATTTTAGCTCATTTCATGCATTTTCACAATTAAAATTCCTAAATTTAGGTCAGTCCAAAGCTTATATAAGAGTATAATAAAAATTTTATCTGTATCTAGATACATTTTTAAAAAAAATTGTATTTGTATCAAGTTAACTTTTTAGATTATGTATCTGTAGCTAGATTCATTTTAAAAAAGTATCTTTTAACAACTCTTGAAATTGTAAAAAGGGCTGTCCAAATATTTTTACAAGAATTTTTCGAATAGCCGGAAGTTCATTTAGGCATGATTCCACATTTATAAAATCCATATGCCGAGAATAATCTTTGTCAATTCGGATTCACAACTAAAAATTGATAATCAATTTTTCGGCTCTGTTGTTAAAAAATGCCATTTTCGATGGTTTAAATGTGGCCCTAATTATTGGATTTTTAAATTTCAGAGACTATATTAGCTTACAAAAATTTTATCCTAACACATCTGTTTACAAACGTGTGTATGTTATTACCCTGGAACAAAAACCATCATCAAAAAGATTTTTTCCGGCAAAATTTTCCATATTTCTCCCAAAAAAAAGGTATTTTTACCCAAATTGATCATGCAATTTGAGGATTTTGACCTGGCAAAATCCCTGTTTATAATCCGTATGTTGGGGTTATAGATTGATTTTTATACTAATTATAGATACATTTTGTTTTTAATTCTTTAGCTTTTTATATATTTTTCTGAGCAATTAATTTTTCCAAATCTCAAGTGATACATTTTTCTATATATTTGAACAATTATTATTATTTTTATTTTTATTTTCTTTGTGAGCAATTAGCTTCTCTTTTATTTAACTGAGCTTTGAGAGATTTAATTCTGTTCAGAATTTTTGTTCTGAGAGTATCTGATCTGATCTGAGCTTCTAAGAAGGATTTATAAATATGTCGCATCATCCGATCTTTGGTTCAACAATTAAAATCCTAGATGTATTTTTTACAAATTACAAATTAGGAATTACTATACGATAACCTTTTGCCAATAATTCGGTTTATATTTTTTTTAAATATATATATATATATATATATACACAAATATCATACTAGTAGATCTTGACCTTGGCTATTATTGTAACAAACAAGGATTTTTTTTAAAAAAAATTAAAGTAATGTCAAAATTATTGATAAGTAATTGATGACAATCGAAGGACATTAACTAAAATTAATTAGAATATTTATATATTTATTTAATAACAAATAATCGCTGGTCGAATTTTATAAAAGTTTTATAAAAAAAATGTGGCATATTATTCCAGGATTATCAATGGTATGTAATATTAAATTAAATAATTTTTTAATTTTATGAATACCTAGATATTCGTAGCTGTATATGTGGTTTGTTCATCGATAATTAATTACGGGGTCTCCTCTGAAGGTATTGTTTATATGTAAAAAATAAAAAATGTTTGCTTTGCTTGATCTTTAATGCTAAAATTAAGATTTTTAAAGTATTATTTCAATTCCATGATCTGAATCCAAGCCATTTTATCAGTATCAAACTAAAACCGAACAGGAATTGTTATGCCACTCGAATGAGCCAACCTTTACGAATTGATTTCTTTATCTTACCCGGTTTCCGAGCCTACATGAGTGGTGGGTGAGGGTAGGAACAGTTTGCATCCAATTTTTTTTGAGGGGGTGGGGTAGGGGGTAGGCTATTAAGAGGAGTAGACTAAGGTCAGGATTAGAGATTGTACTATGATAATGCATTCTATGTAAATTCTGAGGGTTTTTAATTGAATTAAGTTTACTAAAAAAATAACTCTTTTGCTTTCACAATATTATTTTGATAGTAATAGAGAGTACCATAATAATGTTGAAAATATTGCTGCCAGAGGAGGCGGGAATTTTCTAAGGAGGGAGGGGGGTAGATACAGATTTTTGAGGGGGTGTTTGCATCAAGTGAATATCCTGTCATGTAGACGCTGTCTTAAGTTTATGATATTCCAAAATTTTTTAATCATTTTTTTGAAATTATAATCTATTTTGATTGGTCCCCCCCCCATATCAGTTTAATAGATTTTCTTTGAAATCAACTATTTGACCGGCTAACCAAAGTAGAGTCTAGACGTGTATACAAATATTTCTCCATTTTTCTTGAATATAGTTTGATTTGATAAAAAAAAACATTTTATTTTGTAAAATAATATAATTTGCAAAATAATATAATTTGCAAAATAATATAATTTGCAAAATAATATAATTTCATAATATAATTTGCAAAATAATGTTAGAAAGAAAGAAAGAAAGAAAGAAAGAAATTAGGAAATATTCGAGTTCAAAGATTGCCACAAGGTTTTATCATTATTATTTCCATATTTTAAATTTATAAATTATAATAATAATATTTTGGAAAGGATTGAATGACGTTTTAGAATATGTTAGACATGGACATAGTACTACATACTATGTATATCGTCAAAGGGGATGATATTTTCTCGGCATACAATGTGGCTAGATGGAAATAAAATTTTATTTTTAACACTTTTTCTTGAAAATATATTATACATATATATATATATATACACATTCTCTCACGTTATATATAATTATGAATTTTATTGGGCATATGAAAAATATTTTAAATAATATAAATTATGATATTTTATTTATTTATTAATAAAACTACATCTCCCAACAATTCTTCTTTTTTTTAGAAGCATATATTAATTACATTACATTACAAACTATTTATTATTTATTTATAATAGTGATACAAATATTATATAAACTATTGTTAGTATACTCAAATGATTCTAATTATAATATTTATTACATAATTCTCTCAGAATTCAACTAAAATTGCACAGAATTTTAGTTATTTATTTTCCAATGTTTTAACGATCGTTTTTGTATTTTGTTTTAAGGTATACAATTAGGTCATATCGCAAATGTATTTTTCGATGAAGATATTAAAACATATTATTTTTATTAAAATTATCTTTTAAAATTTATTCTTATAAAATCGCTTATATCTTAAACGCCACATTGGTGACGATTGAGTTTAGAGGTATGTATTAAATTAAAAAGGTTAAAAAGACGAAGGATATCGTATTATGATGTCTAACGATGACTCCAAGATAGTTCTGAATATAAAAGGTATATTCCAGAGATCTTTAAATCGAAAAGTTAACATTCAGGACTATGAATATAATTTATAATAACTCATCTTTAAAATAAAAAATATTGTCGATCATAATAAAATAAGTTTTGTTCGTTACTAGTGAAGGTCAACGGTCCGGTCCTATCGGTCTTAGACCGGGACCAGACCAGACCGATTGTCGGACCGATCTTTTTTTTGAAAACCGTGGTCCGGACCGGTCTTTTTATTTTTCACGGTCGAGACCGCTGTCCGGACCGGTTTTTTATTATTATTTAAGTTTGCTTTACTATTCAATTAATATAATTTTTTTGTATATTTTATTTTATGATATTTTTCTAGATGAGTTATTTTAGATTTTGTTAATTTTTATTTTACAATATGAAAACCATAAGTTTGTCCAAGAAACATTTTACTTATAATCCCAATAAAAAACATAGAGTATGTGTTCACTGATACTAAATTTAATGTATCGTCAGCACAGCAACAAGTAACAAAATAATTGTTTATAATTTTTTAAGCAATAAATTAATCAAAATAAGCAATATTATTATTAAAATATTTTGGTTATTATTTATAATATAGTTCTATTTTTTCTTAAGAAACTGTCTCAATAATTCATTGTCAAAATAACTTAACCTTATTCTTAATAAAATAATTAGGTACCTTAAGCAGACATCTGATAAAACATAAAATATACACTTCTAATGATGAAAATGAAAATATCTCAAAAAACACAATCTACTCTTAATATAAATATTCCCTCCACAAGCACAAAATCATTTTCTTCAAAACCATTGGATAAATTTTATTGTTTATATAATACTCTTATATTTAATAAAACAAATTAAATAAAGATCGGTCCTGGACCGGTCTTTTTATTTAGGACCGTGGTCCGGTCCGAGGGTATCGGTCCGGTCTTATCCAAAAACCGGACCGTGACCTTCACTATTCGTTACTCCATAGTTTGGAGAAAATATTTAAGAATATCTCTAATATTTTCCTATAGCGAAATAATTTTTATGCCATACTAAAATGAGGCGGACAGATTTTTCGATCCAATTAAAAAATGTATTTGCTCACTATGTAATTTTAAATCTCTTGTTGTTGAACTTTTAAGAGATATATGCTATCTTAGGAGTAGGACTGACCGAGTTGGATAAAGACCTTCAGGTCATTGAAGATACCGTGCGTTTAGCAATGGCGCTCTCTTCCTTGGCAAAGGACCCAGGTAGAAGTTAACTCATTAAACATAAGCCGACGCAAGCTTCCCAAAACACCTATTATAAAAATAATAGCTATAGATAATAAATTCAATTGAAATAATAGTTAAATGACAACAAATTCAATCATAATAATTATATCCAATAATTATAAATCTAGTTTTAAACCTATATGCTTTCGTTACGGCAAGGCTAACTACATAACTAAAGATTGCAGAACTCATGCCATACAGATGATTCTATCAGGGACACTTCGATGGTCAATTTCTAATAAATCTACCATTGATGCAAAGATAAATGGTTAGCGATTTACAATAGATTTCGATGCAAGCGTTAAGTGCAATGTAAGATTAAGTATCCTGGAACGTATAGGTAAACCATCACTCCTGCGTATAAACTAGTTGGGTATAACAATATCAAAATCGAAGTGTTGAGTAAATGTACAGTTAAAGTCGAAGTAAAAAACTTTTCTAAATTTTTACTTATTTGGGTAGTTAAAGGAGTTTTCCTTATTCTTGGAATGCATTTTCTTAGACTTCCGGAAGAATTTTGGACAAATAATATAAATATGAATTCCCGCTTTAAATACTATTGCAAACGAAATTTTCTCTAGTTTATTTTTAAAAATTTAGGAGAAATAAAACTCCAACAAGCAGTTATCCGTATACAACCGAACGATTACCGATAGCTTTACCAGCAAGAAGAGTTCCATTTCAGCTGAAGCTGAGTTGGACAGACATTTAGACGAGGGCTTTAGCGGATAGGTGAATCCAACAACAACTCCAATCACTTGGGGTAGGCCAACGGTTAATATTTTAAAGGAATTCGGTGCCGTGAGGATATGCAGAGATTCTCGTTTAACAAAAATATTTAGCGATAATAGATAACGATTTATTACCAACTTTCGTCGACCTGACAAATAGGATCGCGGGTGGTGAAATATTTTCGAAGATAGATTTAAGAGATACATTTTTACAATTCGGAGTTAGTCTAGAATGAAAGAATCTTTTAGTAATTTCGACTCATGTCGGTTATTACTGATGTCTAAGATTCCCCTTTGGGTTGAGCAGCGCTCTGATAATATTTCAACACCTCATGCAAAACCTATTAAATGGAATACCTACGGTTAGTGATTTTTAGACGACGTAATTACGGGTGAGAATAATTTTTATGATAAACTTAAAAATATTAAGAAGATTTGATAAGGCTGGACTGACAACGATAACCGATAAAATTAAAATTGGAGCTAAAAGTCAGTTACTTATTTGAGTCATATTATTGACGAATTCGGAATTCACCTTTCAGAAGATAAGATATTGGGCATAGAAAATTGCAAAACACCGTCAAATGTGAAAGATTAACGTTCGTTTCTTGGAATGGTGAATTACCATGAGTTGTATATACAAAACATTCTATTTGCGTGCCATTACACTGACTAACTAGTAAAAATGTTAGGGAAAAATGATAAATTTAGTTGTTGAAAATTTAAAACGGTTGTAATTATTTTACTGATAGAACCCGATAATAATATGACATTATCCAAATAATATTGAGGTCGAGATTAGAATTGATTTTTGTATTTTGAACGATGCTGTTTATAGCTAAGCCGAATAAAGGCAGACCGAATAGATCCATTTGCAGTGTTCCTTGTGCTGATATTAAATAGTTTCTTTTCCCTATTGTTAATACGGTTAGGTACTGTAGCTTGATTGAATATAATTCTCTGGATAAATTTCTAAAAAGCATTTAAAGTATTGAAAGGCATTTTTTTTGACAAGTATGATGAATTGCAGCACTTTCTGAAGCTAGGAATATTCGGAATAATCTATGCTGCGTGGCCGGCAGATGTTCCACACTCTCCTTTGAAACCAAACCCTAATTGGTATGGAGACAGCAATTTTGATAAAGGTATGTATTTTCAATCGCAATTTTCAAAATTTCTCAAAGAGTTGAGAGCTTGGATTAGCGACGACTAGTCCAAATCGACTTGTTTATTCTTCGAACTATTTTTAAATATCAAAATTTCTAGCTGATCTATTGTAGTGTCAAAATTTATAACCGAACCGAACCAAAACTTTTAAGGAATAATCACAATATTTATTAAATATAATTCTCAAAAGGTTTTACTGGTAATTTTAGGATATCGGTTGCAACACTAAACCAAAAAAAAAAATTAATGAAATATTATTACTAATATAGTTTTTAACAAAATCTAAAATGGCCGCCAATAATAATTATTATTTTTACAAAATCCAATAAAACATGAAATAAATTTTAAAAAAAATATTATAAAAATTATATTTAAAAAAAAACAAAATTATTTCTAAATAAAACACATCTCTTAAATAATCAGTGTGGTTGTAATTTCTACAATAGCAAAATATCACTACAATAGTAACTCTACAATGGTAAGTGATTCCACAATCTTACACTTGAGCTGTTCGAAACTTTTCAGGTTCTTGGATATTTCTTATCTATTTTGAGGTAGGAGTATTAAACACTTATATTTATTTTTTTTTAAAATTTTTCCTATCTTTGGAGAACCATATTAAAAATCCTTGGAAAACATTTTTTACGATTTAAATAAAAAATACAAATTTTTATAAATTCCCCTTCTAGGACAGCAGACTTACATTAGCGTAACAAAACAAATGACATAAAATAATGTCAAAATAATTTATTATGACGATAAAGGACATTAATTCATAAAATATTTCGAAAATTTTTTAATAAAATTCGTAAAATTCTGGGTTGAATTATATAAAAAATGTTTCAAATTATTTCTCGATTTCTAATGGCTTTTTTTAAAGATATATTAAATAAAAATTAATTATTTTTTTTTCAATTTTATAATAACGACACGCAGATACTCATCGTTGTCACTTTAGCGTGTTGGCCGATAATTCAATGCAGGGTAACTAAAGGTATGCTTATATAATTGATATTAAAATTTATTTAACAAGTAATCATTTCAAATTTTCCATATAACCCCGGAGTCAAAACCGCTATTCCCTTATATTATCTACTTTACCCTAAACCGGGCAGCCAACCGTTAAAAATTTTTTTACCCCCCCCCTTCCCAACCCCCAATAAGAAGATATTTAGCTGGTTCATAGGAGTATTCAAGATTTTGCTAAGAAGGGAGAAGGAAGCACTGTTAGAATGATGTTTTATCCCCCATTAATTTTATTAGAGATCTTTACGTCCACTTATTGTGGGCCTTTATCTATATATTAGACTTTTATAAAATATAATTTGGGGTTTTTACTATTCTTTATTTTATTAAATATTTGGATTGTAATGGTTATTTGTAAAATTTTTTAATTTTTTACTGATTTCTATTTTCAAATTCTTCCCTATAATAATATATTGTATACATTTTTTTGAATTAGGTGGGGGATTTATCAGGACGTTACCTTGGCTTTTAAAGCAGTAGTAATTAATCTCAAATTATTTGAGTAAATTTCATCAAGTTTTACAAAGAATTTATGAAATCGATAAAGAGCGTTTATGGCATCTTCCAAATCATTAAACCATACACCAATTTCAATGAAGTTTCACTAAAATAACTTAATTTTTATAATAATAAACTTATAAATATAGGTAAATAAAAATTTTATTCACTCAAATTAAACCGTTTTGAATGTGAATTATAAAACATTTATTCACATCTTTAAAATCCACTTTAAATTTCTTTTTTTTCAAATTTAAAAATAATTATTCTGTAATTTATAATTTAAATACCATACTATCTTTTCAAAATATTCTATAAATTTAGATATGTAATTCCTGACCTATGTTCTAGCAACTATAATGATTTATATTACAACGTATTAATATTATAAAAATTATCTCCGCTAACAAACACCATTATGAAAATATAAAATTAACAAAATTGTTACTATATGTTTATCAAAACCGAATAATGATACAATCTAAGAAATAAAATCAAATATAAAGTATACTCAGAGGAGTTGAAATGTTGACTGAAGTTATAACTAATTGAGTATCGCATTTTACAAAAATCTAAATATAATATAACGAGTATATTTATAATGTATTTAAAATCATTTAAACCTGTAGAAAATTTACCTTTACCATAGTAATTATCAACAATAATAGCATCGTGTAATTTAGATTTTTAAAGTGGAACATAAAAAAAACATAAATTATTATGATAAAGTTTTTTTATATATTTATTTTTTAATAAATTTTCAAACTGATCAACAAAAATGTTTAGAGAAATTAATTTTATAAAATTATTTTAAAGGTAGTACGTTCATTTTAAACTATTTAATTACAAATAGTTTGGATGAAGAAAAATAACTTTACTTGTTTATATTTATATATATATATATGCATGCTGAGGTGTTAAACCTTTTTTAATTTATAAATTATAATCAAAAATATATATTATTTAAATCATGAAAAATACAATTTAAATTATTATTCTATTATAAATTATTCTTTAAATTTACTCAAAAACTATCCAGGCCCACTTTAAACAAGCTATTGGCTTACTCTTAAACTCATCTAATTATCGTGATTAGAACTACATGTTTTAGTAAATAGCCTTCTTTTTTTATGTTAAATCTCATATTTGAAAATTCTTTATAATTTACTTATCCCCATAATATTTGAGTATAAGATAAGTTATATTCAATATTTTCATCTTTAACGCTGTACATTAAATTAATTACTGTTCGTAAAAATATTTTATAAGTTAAAGATATTAAAAATTATAAATTTGTTGGAATGAGATTATTTTAATTTAATCTTTGGGTAATAATAAAAATACTTAAACAAGGTATATATATATTGAATTAAAAATAGGTAAAATAGAAAAATTTTATGAATATCAAATAAGGACAATATATATATTATAACAAATCTAAAGGTTCGGCACGATATATAAATTAAATTATTTATTATGCTAAAATCGAGTAAAATCTTTTTAGTACAATAACTTCACGAAGACAGGGATTAAATCAAGGCTTAAAAATTATCCCTATGATCGTCGCCAATAAAGTGTTTTATTAAATAAGTAAAATAAGTAAAGTAAGTAAAAGTATCTTTAATACAAAATATCACGTATATATATATAATGAATTCAATCCTTCAGGTTATGTAATTTACAAACTAAAAGTTAATATTATATTCAATATAAATTCAATTTACAATTACATTTATATTACAATAAGTTATATTCAATATTTTCAACTTTAACGCTGTACATTAAATTGATTACTGTTCGTAAAAATATTTTATAGGTTAAAGAAAAAATTGGAATAAGATTATTTTAATTTAATATTTGGGCAATAATAAAAATACTTAAACAAGGTCTATATATATATTGAATTAAAAATACGTAAAATAGAAAAATTTTATGAATATCAAATAAGGACAATATATATATTATAACAAATCTAAAGGTTCGGCACGATATATAAATTAAATTTTTTTATTATGCTAAAATCGAGTAAAATCTCTTTTAGTACAATAACTTCACGAAGACAGGGATTAAATCAAGGCTTAAAAATTATCCCTATGGGAGTTTTGCTAATAATTTTGTGTTAAAAAGAGGGTAAAATATAGAATATAATTAAAAATATATAATACAATATGCTAAAAAATGGGGTAGGGGTGGATTCTCAATTAAGTAATTACATTAATTAGTGCTTAAAAAGAAACGATATATATATATAAATATTTTTGTATTTTTTTTCCTTACCTTAAATAGAGTAAATCTTTGCTCTCCAATGCCTTGATTCTTATTTTATGAGTCAAATCTTTAAATAAAATGAATGTTTTAGGAGAATCGTGAGTATTTTCTATCTATTTACTTTTTTATTTCTGCTCAAATAATTGTTTTAGTATAACATTTATTGGGTTAGTGGTAAGAAATAATAATCCTACATGAGAGATTTACTTAAAGCTAAATTTATGACAAATTGCTTTGGATAAATAATCATATAAGGTGGATGTATATAAATAATTTTTAATTTTATTTATTTATTTAAATGCTTGTTTGTTAATTAAAGTGAGAGATTATTTTCTTTAAACTATTAAATTTCGATTATGGGAAAAATTCCTTATCCCAATAATATACCAAATGTTAACGGAATGGAAGTTGATATGGAAATTTTATCATTTCAGCTTTATATTCAATTATGGTCTTTCAATTAGTATTTTCTTGGTTTTTATATCTTTATTAAACAATTATTATTTTTTATCTAATTGATTAAATTTGAGTTAATATACTACAAAAATTCAAACAATTTTAAATAAGAAGTTATTTTATCTAATAAATTTATTGATTAGTTACAAGAAATTTATATATATATAAAAAATTTTAAAATAACATCATAAGAATAGTTTTAAAAAATTTAATTTCATTATTAAATCTAAATACACGATGCTTTTATTTTTGATACTTGCTAAGATATATATAACATCTTCCACATGTAACATGATTTTATTCACGATAATATTATAAATATATATATATCACATTTTAGTAGACTTTTGTCAAATGGAATTTCCAATTGTTTATGACTTCAATCGCCATTTCAACTCTACAGTGTATTTGTTTAAAATATATATATAAATACAAATAAAATATTTTAAGATATAGAGCTAACGCTTCATTGAATTTGGTAGAAGGTTTAGTCATTTGGGAGATGCCACAAATTTTATATCATGATCCCATTTTATATTCCACTTATTTCCTTCAACAAAAATACTATAACGATCTAAAATTAATTACTAGAGCTCTTAAAACTACGGTAAAAAAAAATATATTTAAAAATAAATAAAAACTCATGTAATACCTATATCTATTTTTATTATTGAGTTTTGTATTTTGTAATGAACAAGTTCTATATAGACACGAATCCTATGTTATTACAAGCTATCATCGCGGATAAAGATGTTAGTTCGAGCTTATCTTATGGGACGCTATCAATATCATATAGTTCTCATATTCATCATATTCACGATTATAGATATATTACTGATAATAATATCACAAATGTGAGTATCTAAATGATCTTAATTTTTTTTATCTTCTAACATATCTAAATCTTTTTCGATAGCTAAGATTTAGGCAGCCTTACGGAAACTCACTTCAAATTCATGAATTCCACGAATCATATATAATTGTGAAAGGTTTCTTGAAAAATCCATTCAAAAAATTGAGATCCATATTTTACAACTTATTGAGCAACGATTCAAGTTACATTCCTAAAGTTAATGTCATTCTGCAAAATTGTCAGAATAATAGCACAAGTAAATATATCTAAATTTCATTTTTAATACTGATATTGAAATTTATCATTTGTAGTCTTTGGCTTATCTAACTTTAAAACTAATTTTGGAAAAAAGTAAAATATTTTTAAATAAAATTTAAATGCATATATTTTTAGCCCTTTACATAGATCAACCGTTTGTTCTTGATTATGTGTTAGTCAAAGGAATTTACAATCTGATTATCTCCAACGAAAATTCGACAATTTTTATAAAGTTATTATAAAAAATATATAAGACTCATAAATAAAATACCTGTCCTAAATATTAATAATCATAACATAAATCTACCCTAATATCCTTCCAATAATGTAGACACTAACTCCAACCTATTCATAGATTTAATATATACATCCGTTATTCAATACCAAAAGGGCGAACTTAGTTACAATTTGACCATGTTCGAGACACCACGTAGAGATATGAAGCTGGCATTAAATTATTGGGAAAATTTTTCTATCTCACAAAATATGAAGGTCATCATAAATAATAAATTTGGATAAAAATTATATTTAAGGTTTACTAATTTAGATATACATTCGTTTTTTATGTCATGATATTATCTTTATAAAAAGGTACACATTTAAATTTATTCCCCAAAAATGATTCAAATAAATTTATTAAAAAAATATATATTATTTTCGAGGTAATTTTTTTCTACACTTTTTTCACCCAAGAATTATTTATTTTAGGAATTTCCATGTAATTTATTCCTATTACGCTTAGTAATCCAAAAATTTAGCTATAATGTATAATATATTACATATATTGTTTGAGCCAAGTAAGGCATTCATATTTCTTATATTAGAACAATTAGCAAAAGAATTAGATCTGATTGTTTTAAAAAATTGAGAATACCAATTATTAATAAAATATAAAATAAGATAACAATAGAAGTCAACTACAATAAGTCCGCACTTTGCACTATTCGACTTCGTGGCATCAATGATGGTCTAAAACATAAAATTAACCTAGGAAGGAATCAATATGTAATGAAAAATATATTATTATTAAAATATCATCGACTGTGAAATAACCAAAGAATTATATAAATCTTTTATCTTTCGCTATTTTATATTTTTAAAGGCAATCATCGATCAAAACAATGAAACGCTTACCATCAAAAATCATCTAAATTTCATTAGCGATACTACTTTGAAAAATAATTTTATAGTTTATAGCATAACGTGTGAATTGAGATACAATTTGTCGGAAGATGAAGATAAAATTATAAAAGTGACTACATTTTCTACATGGAAAATTATGAAGCGTTTGTATCTATAATTTTTATAATTATTTTTTTATTACAATTTAAATTTTTCTTATTCAATGTTAATAAATTGATAATAAAATTTTTTTTTGTTTCATTCGCCTTCCTATTTAATGTCTGATTAAAAAGAAAATCATTAAATATATATATTATTTTATATGTTTGCCTTATTAAATATCCAAAAGTACTATTTATTAAAATAATAGTATATTTCTACAATATAAAATAATTACAATATTCTTCTAATTTACAAATAACTACAATATTCTTCTAAGGTTAAATTAATGACAATATTCTTCAAAATTAAATTTTTGGCAATATTTATCACTATTCAATTATCAATTACAAAACAATCGATCATCAGAAATTAAAATTTTTACGTTGTCCTTATATTTTTTTCCTTTATCAAAAAATACAGTAATTTTCAATTAATAAATGATTATATTTAATTAGGGTTATAAAATAATTTATATAATAAAAAATCATTAACTGTTAATGCTAAATGAATATCCATATCTAATACAGAACGAAAATACAATTTATATGTATTAATCTAATCAAATAATTAAATTAACCCCTCATTTAAAAATTTAGATAGTCTTATTATTTGTAAATAATAAAATCAAATATATATATGTAATACTTAATAGAATTATGAAAGGAATCTTTCAAGGGAGTGGCGTTAATAGGGAGGGGGTGAGGCGGGTAGGGGTGAGCCCCCTGAAAAATTTGAATAGCCCCCTGACAAAAAATTTATTTTTAATGTCTCCTTAATATCCCCTTGAACTAAAAATAAATTTTTTTGATTGCCCCCTACTGGATTTCTTTTATAATTCCATTAAGTAATATATAGATTTAATTTTATTATTTATTAATAAGACTATTTAAATTTTTATTAAATGAAATACTATTTTAATTATTAAATTTAGATTAATACATATAAATTATATTTTCATTATGTCAGCTTGCAATCAAATTCTGTATTATATAATATAATATCAATAACTCACTAAATATTAATTTAGCTTTAACAGTTTAAGTATAATTGACTTTTATAGATTATTAAATAATACTAATTAAATAATTATAATCATTATTTAAAATTAACAAATTTAATATTGTAAATAACCGAGTTAAAAATTACAAATCAACTATATTATTCAGTTTTAAATTAAATTAGCCCTCTTCCTAAAAATTATTTTAAGTTCCAAATAAGAATAGGAGATTTCTTTATAAAAAGTAGACATATAGTTTATAATCCTTTATTATATACAATTGGTAATAAAATATTTGGTAAATGCCACTTTTACAGGCGTATTTGACAGTTATATAAAATATTAAAGTTAATATTATAATAAAAAAATTTGATAATTAGTAATAATTTGCATTCAATTCTTTGACGATATTTATTTAGTTAAAAATTTTAGTAAAAATTAAACACTTACTATTCATCCCACAAGATGGATGTAATAATTAAATATCTTTTCTTCTCTTTATTACGTATTTTTAGGTTAGCTATTATTTTCTTTTTTTGAAAAACAGTTTCGATATAAATTTTCAATACGAGTATATTTTTGATATTATTACAAACTACTATTATCTTAAGATATAATATACCAACTCGAGGTGGTGTGGCAATAATAAAATCTTGATTGCTTTCATCATCTCATCACACTGGTCAAAATGTTTTATGTAAATAACTTAAAGCTTCAATAAATTTACATTATTTCTGTTAAGATTTTTAGTGTGTTTGTTTTATCAATTTATCTAACATAATAAATTCTGATATAAGTTAACATCGTGATCATGACTATGACTGCAAATTAACCAGCTTTGTGTGGAAATGTAAGTTAAGGTTATTACTACAGCTGCTGAGAGCATATGATTGCATATTTTGGATAAGCAATAATGGTCAATTGTGTCGTTTATGTATTAAAAATGGAAGATAATCTTTTATAAATTTAAAATCTCACAATAATTATCTCGATTACTTATCTAGCTTCCATCATATCATCTGAGAGGCTAACCACAATATAGTTTTATGATTTAAATTGGTCGTTTATAATCTCTTCTTCAAGAATTGTTGATTTGGTAAGGCCTATAAAATTTTCCTTATTAGTCCATTCTATAAAACATTGTCTAAAATGGTAACAGAGAGTTATATTAGTTTCTAAACTTTTTGTCAATATAAGTTGCTAAAAATTATATTATATTAAGTGGTTTTTAGAAAACCATTATCAATTGAGGCATATGTATGATTTAATTAATCTTTTTTATCACTTGTAATTCTTTAGACGCAAATTTTTTTTTATATCAGAAATCGAAAATACTTTATACTGTAATAAAATAGATTTTGTGTTAAAAAATATTATTTTTAGAAATGTCTTGTATGGCTTTAATTATTTATATGCCAGTTTATTATTTGTATGCATAATATAATAAATGACAAAATATGGAATTGAGAATAATTGTTCGGAGTTAGCTGATTTTAAAAAAGTATAATATATTAATATAAAGCCTGCCGAAGGCCGGGGAAAAGCGGACCGACACAAATTAGGGGACATGGGATTTTTGCCCCCATAAAAATTCTTTTAGTTGAACCCCCTGAGATTGTATATGCTAGCGACGCCCCCGAAATTTTAAACACATTCTCCATGATTTTGTTTATATTTAATTTTATATATAAAATAATATAATTAATATAGGGGTATGAGTGAAGAACGCTAATTTTAATTTCCTTATTTTATTTATTTTTGTTTAGTTAGTGAAGTAGAATAGGTTAGGATGCAAATGGAAGGAATAGGAGAGTGGTATGAGGTTATCATCATTATTGACTGGAGTGACAAAATACGTGATTTACCCATATCTCATATTATATTATATTCGCTGGACACATAATTTGAGAAAGAAGATAAATGTGATGTCTTAGATTAGAGAAAATTTAAGAAACTTTTTCCACTTTTATATTCTTTAATTAAAATTGGAACAGATTGGGTGATATGGCTAAAACAAGTAAATAATATTGCCATTGAGGCTTATAAGAAACAATAAAGATACTTTAAGAAACTCTTCTCGGACATGGATTTTAGTTTGATGTTATTGGATAAATTCTAAATTCAGCAATGAAATCAAATAATAATATTTGCTTTTGGAATATACAAAAAACAATGAGGCATTAGGAATGGGTAGTAATTCTATATCTTTACCTGCCATAAGGATTAATTAGTGTTTATAAGTGGACAATTTCTTTGAAGATGAATTTTAACATTTTGAAAAAATAGGCTCAAACATGGGCCTTTATTCATGTGTATAAGATATCTAGCTGGAAGAGTATATAATTTGATCAAAGCGTTTTCAAGGTTGCCTATTGATCATTTAAATTAAAACTCGAGAACATGGGCCTCAAGTGTGCATAATATTCGTTAACAGATTTTAAATTGAAGCACAATACCAGAGTGGCTACAATTAGACCTTAATCATTAACAGGGTCAAGAGTGAATACGAAACGAATCTAAATGTAGGCATGAAAGCGATGTGATTATATCAAATCCAGCAAAGCTGGAAGAGGCTGGATAAAAATATAATCATAAACTCTAACTCAACTCATAGAATGTTTAGTTGTTAACGTGGCGATAGTTAACTCAAAAAAATAATAAAATAATATAATAATCTTTTTTTATGTATCTTATATTACTTGTTATTAAAATAGTTTTAAAAAAAAACACGGGGTTAATATATTATGTTTTACCAAACATTTTTCGTAGTTGATTTTTAAAGTTGAAGAAACTTTATATATATATTAAAAAAAATTCTTTTTCTGTTATAAAAAATTTTTTTTTTTTTAAATAAAAAGGTTAAATATTCCAACATTGATAACGTATTGAAATTTTTATAAAACTGAAAAGTATAGGATGATTTTTATTTTATTGTGGACAATTACTTTGGTACAAATAACATTTTCCACAGGTAAAAAAAAAGGATATAATTTGTATAAATATATATGCCATATTATAGTTGACTTTTGTCATATGCGATATCCACTAATTTACGACTTCAATCGACACTTCAACTCTTCCGAGTTAGACATTTATTAATAATTGTTACATTAAAACAGAGATTATGAATTAGATACAATATTTATTGCTAAGAATTAAAAATTGAAAATAATTTGTTAATAAATTAGTGAATTAGTTAGTTATTATTTTAAGTATTATTTATGTATTATATGATATCTATACTTTTTTATAAAAAAAAATTTACTTATTTTTTTATAACAGCTATTTAACTAACTCTTCGTTGAATTTGGTCGATGGTTTAATCATTTGGGAGATGCCACAAAATCTTTTTTTTTATTCCAATTTCACAACTTACGTTTATTTCCTTGATGACAAATACATAAATGATTTGAGATTAATTACTAGTGCTCTCAATGCTTCGGTAATTTATTTTTTTTTCTTATTAAATTTTTAGAATTTTTATAATGCTTAGTTTTATATAGATACTAATCCCAAGACCTTAAAAGCCATCCTCGCCCATGATGATATTAATTTGAATCCAACTAGTGGAGTAAATCATTCTCACATTTATAATATTAACTATAACAGATACATTACTGACGATGGTGTCACTGCTGTAAGTATACAAAATATAAATAGATTCAATATTTTTATAGTTAAGATTGGTTCAACCTTTCGAGAGATCAATTAATGTTTATGAGTTTCACGAGTCATACATAATCTACAGAGGTTTGATGCTGAAGGACCACCCATTCCTTAAATTGACTGTCACATTTTCCAATATATTGAACAATAGCTTTAGTTTTTTTGCCAAGGACAGGCCCAAGGTTAATATCATCCTTAAAAATTGTCAAAACAATACTGAAAGTAAAAAAAAAATTAACTCAATTCAAATTTTTATTAAAATGTTTGTTAATTTCATTTTATATAGGCTATGGTTTGGCCAACTTTAAATTCAGTTTCGGAAAACGTAAAAATTAGATAGATATTAATTTTTGTATATAATTTAATTTAATTATTTTTACAGCAATTTACGTTCACCGAGAAGCAGCCTGCGATTACGTGTTATTTCAAGGAGTTTATAATTTAGTTTTCACTGAAGAGAATTCAATAATTTTTCTAAAGTATACGTTGATAAAAATAAGAATATAAAAACTAGCGTTAAAATTGTTATTCATTTTACAGAAATCTACCCTTGAATCCTTGCATTCGTTTGCCCTATTCAAGTTTGTGCGTTACTGACTTAGTATACGCGTCAGCTATTGATTATTACTATTATCCGCTTACCTACAAATTGAAAATGTTTGAGATGCCTCTTAAAGATATGAAAAACGCGATAAAATATTGGGGAAATTTTTCGATCTCACAAAATACGAAGGTCATCAATAAATTAATAATTTTTTTGAGGTTCATCTAATTTCGATGTTCATTCGGTATATATTTCGTGATATGACCCACCTATCTTTGCTGTAACTAAAAAAGCATACATTTCTAAATTTATTCCCCAAAAATAGTGCCAATAAATTAATTTGAAAAATTCGTATTATTTTCAATGTATTTATTTTTACATCTCTTATCTGCGAGAGGTTTCCTTGTAATTTTTTTCCTATCACTCTTTAAGCCAATTATGTAATAGCCACCAAAAATTTATATTATATATTCCATATACATTTTTTAAGCCGAGTTATTCATTCATATTTCTTATATTAGAGAGTTCTCAGAGGAATTAGTTCTAATATTATTTATTTTCAAAATTTCTAATACCAAAAATGATTTTAATAAAATATAAAATAAGTTGACAATCCAGGTGAACAGCAATAGATCTGCTCTTTGCACTCTCCTGCTTCTTAGCATCAATAATGGTCTAAAATATACGATTAACTTAGGAAGGAATCAATATGTAATTATAAATATATTATTAACTGCGAATTATCGTTTCAAAATCATATAAATCTTCTTTACTATTTTATATTTTTAAGGCAATCATCGAACAAAACAATGCAACGCTGACCCTTAAAAATCATCAAAATAACATTATCGATACTACTTTGATAAATAATTGTATAATTTATAGCATAACGTGTCATTTGAGAATCAATTTGTCCGAAGATGAAGATAAAATTATAAATGTGACTACACTTTCTACGTGGAAAATTATGAAAAATTTGAATCTATGATTTTATATATATATATAGCTTGTGTTGTTTTATCATATGAGTGGTTGAAACAAACTAATTATTTATCTTAGATTCATTTTAAATAAAATTGCCATATTTATAGGCGTGGGTATTTTAAACGTAATTCAATTAAACAATTCTTAGATTAATACTTTTAAGGAAAAAAGGGCACTTGATACCATTCTAAAATAATAATATACATTTTAAAAAAATATATATTCGCTTTGTCTTTAACTAATCTGCGTTTATATATGATAAGGGTTATTTTTCATGTTATATAAGAAAACGTAAGATAATTATATTGACTAGTTTTACATTAGGCACCTTTATAGAGTATAGTTTTAGGTATCCAATCATATATTATTTTTTATATTATCTATAGAACAACAAGAGCTATAGCCAATTTTGTAAAATTGGTTCGACTAACCCCAGTCTTTCCTATATTTATAAAAATCTAATATTAATTCTCTATTCCTATAGGTAGGTATTCAAAAATAAATTTAAGTTACATTATAATGTTTAATAATATTATTTATAATGACAATTCAGATATTTAATTGCTATTTTATTCATATCCTCCCTGATAACGCAGTGCAGTATACACCTAAAAGTATGATAATTTTTTTTCATAAATTAATCTAAATTATTGAATTTATTTTTAAAATTTATTTATTAAATGTTTTGACCCATCAAAACATAATCTAAATAATAATTTTTTAATAAAATTTTAAAAAAAAATCTAACTTATTTAAGTGGTCCTAACAAATATTTAATAATTCAAAAAAAAAATTTTAATCGCAATTTAATACTCAAGATTATTATTACGAATCGTAAAAAGGAATATTATTCGAATGAGAAATGACAATAATTCCACATATATTGTTGATTTTGTTTGTATATATATATATACACTATCGCTGGGGTGGCCTAATGGGTTAGATGTATGATTGGAAACAGAATGACGAACAAGGACGCAGGTTCAATCCTGGTAAGGAGCAAAAAACTTTCGAGTTTTTCTTCGATGACTGATGTGTAAAGACATATGGTAAAATGAATTTCGGAGCTTAGAGATGACACCTCGGTCACCGACAGGCCTGGACAGCCGGGTGATAAGGATACCTGTCCAATAAACAAAATGATGGAAAAAAATAGAAATATGCATATGAAAGCTAGCTCCAAGCGACGCGCAGGGTGTAGTCCTCCATCCTGTGAAAAGATAAGGTCAAAGCAAAGAAGATAAGATTAGCAAGTTTGAATATTGGGACGCTTAAAGGTAAGACGAGAGAATTGGCATCAATGTTGAACAAGAGAAAAGATGATATAGCGTGCATGCAAGAGAACAAAATGGAAAGGTCAGAAGACTTTAATGATTGGAGATGGGTATAAATTGTACTATAATGGAATTGTTAGCAATAGGAACGGTGTCGGCATCATCCTCAGTCAAGATCTAACCTCCTCAGTAGTAGAAGTCAACAGGATCTCTGATAGCCTAATGAGCATAAAACTCTGGATTAATCAATCAATACTAAACATCCTATCAGTATATGCTCCTCAAACGGGTTGCAAGGAAGAAGAAAAAGATGACCTTAGAGCTATCCTTGATGAAGCTGTAATGGAAATCCCTAAGGATGACCTAGTAAGAATTGGTGGTGACTTAAATGCGAATGTGGGGAAAGCAAGAGATAGCTACGAAAGGCATCATGGTGGTTTTGGATATGGAGAAAGAAATGATAAAGGAGAGCACGTACTGAAATTTGCGCAAGCCTTCGATTTTGCCTTAACTAACACCTATTATAGGAAAAAAGACAGTCATTTAATAACATACGAAAGTGGTACAAGGAAAACACAGATAAATTACATGCTAATCTCTCGCAGAAGATTAAAAGATGTAATAGACTGCAAAGTCATCCCAGGAGAAGATATCACCGCACAACTCAAGCTACTAGTCGTGGATTTACACATCTTAAATAAATCCACTCAAAACAAGATAAAACTGGAACCATGCATCAAATGGGGCAAATTAAAAACAATGACAGAATCAATGCAAACATTGAAACATTAGATTCCTCAAAAGTCAGTGAAAAAATGTGGACAGACCTTTCATCCAGATTAATCGACACTGCCAAATCGACACTAGGCTTGACAAGGGGAGGTAACAAATCATACAAAGAACTATGGTGGTGGAATGAAGAGGTACAAATTAGTATACAGGAGAAAAAAAGCCCTTTATAAAATATGGTACAAATCTAAAAACCCAGATTACAAGACAAATTACAAAAATCCAGAATAGCTACAAAGGCTGTGGCTAGAGCCAAATCTATGGCATACGATGACATGTCTAAAGAACTACATACCAAAGAAGGGCAAAATAAAATATACAGATTAGCCAAACAGCGAGAAAAGAACTCTAGGGATATAAACTGAGCTCCAAAAGTAATCAAAAATAAAGATGGAAATTGATAATAAAGGAAAAAGAAATAATGTATAGATGGAAAGAATATTGTAGCTTCTCGACAACAAAGCTAGGGGTCCAGACGATATTCCAATAGAAAGCCTTAAAGCACTAGGAGATGATGGAATACATCTCCTCACAAATCTGTACAATAAAATACTTGGAAATGAAGAGGTTCCCCAAAAATGGAGAGCTATCTAGTTCCTATCTTCAAAAATAAAGGAGATCCACACAAGTCAAAATTACAGGGGAATAAAACTAATGTCACACTGTCTAAAACTATAAAAATAATAGAAAAAAGATTAAGAGATATAATCGAAATCGGAGAGACTCAGTTTGGCTTTATGCCTGGAAGATCAACAACCGATGCTATCCATGCAATTAGGCAAATGAGTGAAAAATACAGGGAAAAGAACATCGATCTAGAAAAGGCCTTCGATAGAATTCCAAGAAAACTTATCTGGTGGGTGCTACGCCACAAAAAGGTTTCCTAAAAATATATAAGAATAATACAGGATATGTATATGGGCCATACAACAATGGTCCATAGCAAAACAGGTACCTCAGCAGGCTTCACAATAGCCAAAGGAGTTTATCAAGGGTCGGCTCTCAGCCCACTTCTCTTTATTACAGTAATAGATGTATTAGCACAGTCTATACCTCAAACAGTCCCGTGGAATATGATATTTGCAAATGATATTGTGATACTTGCCGAATCCAATGATGAAATGAAAGAAAGATTAGTGAGTTGGATAAATATCCCAGAAAAGCAGGGATTAAAAATAAATAGAGAAAAGACGGAGTATATGGTGATAGGAGAAGATGAAACAGAGAGTATTGATATAAATGAATGGCAGATATTGGCAATTGCAAGCTGCAAATATTTGGGCTCCACTATACAAACAAACGGCACAATAGAAAAAGAAATAAAGAGTAAGATTAATCAAGGGTGGCTAAAGTGGAGATCTTTATCTGGAGTGCTATTTGATAAAAGAATCCCACACAAATTAAAGGGAAAAATTTACAGTTCCATAATACAACCAACTATTCTATATAGTTCGGAAACATGGCCAACCAAAGAATCAGACGAGAGAAGTCTACAAACCATGGAGATGAGAATGCTGAGGATGATTGCTGTGGTAATAAGAAAGGATAAAGTGCGCAGTGCAAGAATACTAAGTAGTTTAAAGGTAGTGCCTATTAAGACTAAGTTAATGGTAAATAGACTTAGGTGGTATGGGCACACAATGAGAAGGCCTATGAACTACATAGAAAATAAAGTTAAGAGTTTGGAAGTGATGGGCAAACGTAAAAGAGGTAGGCCAAAACTTCAATGGGGCCATAAAGTTAGAGCCAATATAAAGAAGTATAAATTAGATAAAAGAGATTGTATTAATAACATAAAGTGGAGAGAGATGTTGAAGGAGCTTACCACCAGAAAAGGTGAAAGCTAAAGAGATAAAAAAAAAATTAAAAATAAACTTAACTAAGATAAGGATAAAAATAATATTAAGAGATGAATCAATTACACATGACAGATCGTGCTTGATACGATTTCTTTTATTTTAGCTTCTTTGGATATTCAATTTTCCCAAGCAACCGAATTTGAATGAATTGTTTATATTTATTTTGATAATTTTAAAACAGATAGTTATTCAATTTTTGAAAAAAATTCTTTTATCGATTACGACTAAGCTCTGAACCTAAAACTGATTGCTAAAAACGAATTAATTACTAAAGAATTTTATCCAAACAGAAACCTGCCCGTTGACATTCACTTAGTTTTCATCAGGGAATGCTAAAGATACTATTATTCTAATATATGTGCCGCTATCCGGGATCATCGCGGGTTTTAAAGGGATCACTAAAAAATTACAGTAGTATTATCACTGGGTATAAAACAATAGCTAATTTTATTATATTTTGACTGAAAGCATTCATTCTTGATCTTGACGGGTATGGTATTTATATATACGCGTTTTAGTCATGATAGCAATGACAGAGAGTTCGTTCTTACATTTAATTTTATAAAATATCTCAGTAGTGGGAAGGGATATACATTAACAAAATGAATTATTCTAATACAGATTAAAAAATGATTGATTTCAAGACATTAAAGGAAAATAACCATCGTTTTTTTAAGCTCAGTAATTACTTTTTTTCGGTCTTTATAATATACGCTAGTTGTAGTCATGATAACAATGAAAGAGAGTTCTTACCATTTACTGTGACGATTAATTTTTAATATTTACCAGGACGTGATTTGTCATATTTTTTTTTAAAATAGTAGATTGTTTAGCTGCCTATATAGCATCTATTTATATAACATAAAATAATAAGGAAAAATCTTTTTAGATTAACATACGCAAAAGGATCTTGGAAATACTTATTTAATAAACACACTGAAATAAAAAACTAAAATAGAGTGTCCAAAGTACTAAATTTGTTTGGAGCAGGGCTAAAACACAGAACCCAAAGCTGCTTCTTTAATAATTAAAATAAAAAAATTAGAGTAAAAAAAAAGAACATGAGTATAGATATAATATTCGATGTCGGTCTTAAACAGGATGAAATTTGTTAAAGGTTTAACGGTGGCCGCAAATTTCTAGCGTGGTTAGGTACTACTGGTTCTCTCTGGAATCAAAATTACTTCGATTCATACAATTTTACAATGTCACACCCACATGTCATTAGCCAGGACATAATAAAAAAAATATTTTAAGAGCTTTTTAGTAATATAATTCTAATAAATATTCATATTCATAATTCTATATTTATCCTTTTTTTAAATAATATCCTTTATAGAGTTGAAAAATTAACAAAAACAAAAAATAAATAAATAATATTTACTTTTATGTGTGAAAATGACTTTTCAGGGCAATTTTTCTCATTAAAAACTTAAAATTTAAACAAAAAAAAACAATATAAATTGCAAATTTATTAAAATTATTATTTAATATTATATAGTGAAGGGAGAAAGACATTGTAGAGTAAAAATAATAATACTACAAGTAATAGGCGTATACTCTTTCGATAAATAAAGAATAATTAAATGGTACAAATAAATTCTACATTCCTTATGGTAAGTATCCTATTTATATATTGCCCACTAATTAAGATACTTAATTAATTTTTTTTAAAAACAGATGTTCCTTGTTTTAGCTTTCGTTTTTTCATCTATAACACAATGCCGAGTACCTGAAGGTATGTCTGCATAAATGTAAATTTATTTATTATCAGTTAATGATCTCACATTTTTAAACTACCCCTATTTTATGTAATCCTTCAATAACTTAATTAGGACAAGAATTATTATCTTGTAAGCGTTTATTGCTAGCCTTAATACCAAAAAAAATATTGGCAAGACACAAATATAGAAAATATTACTATATTTCCTTATATATATAGAATTAGTAAATACCTTCATTTTGATGAAGAAATTTAAATTTTATAATTGGGTAAGGAAATTATGAAAAACAATTTTTCCCAAATTTTAAGCATCTTAGTCAAAAAAAAATAAATATTATTCCTTGTAATTGTATTTATTAAATAAATTTAAGACAAGGGTGGACATTTTTCAGGATTACACTTGCATCAGAAAATTGATATACTAATTAATAATTAATTTATTTTCTTAGAAGAATTAGAAGTTCAGTCTAACGATCATCGAGAAACAACTATATCTAGTAAAAAAAAATTAACAATATTGATTTATATTTTTGCATGTATCATCCTGATTTCTTCAATATACATTTTTGATATAATAATCTTTCCTCAAAATTCATGTTCAAGAAACCATCTGGATATTTATACATTTATTTAAAAATGCGTAAGATTTTGGATGCACTTGACAATTATTCTTTCGCAGATTTTAGCTATAGCACGGCAGCTGTAATCTGAGTTGGAAGCTTAGATTTCGAGTTACACGTGTTAACTTTTTTTTTTCTTACTTAAAATAATTACATATATTTTTCTAAGTATTAATTAGGTTTGATTAAATAATATATAAAAGATTTGGATCATGTTAGAATTATTCACGTATTTCGAAGTGGTAGTACGATTCCTCAATTGAATCGTCTTGGAAGATAGATCTTTCAGCGCAACGAGGCTTTAGGATAATCATTTCAGCATACTGGGGATATGATTTACTGCGAAATTTTTTTATAAAATCTACGATATTTGGATATTATTTTTTTTTCTAAAATTTTTATTACCTTATCAGATGATATTGAGTAAATTCTATATAATATTATATTAATATATATATATGTGTGTAACGTCTAATATTTTTTTCTTTTATTACCAATGTGTTTTTTTTTAAAAAAATGATTTAAAAATATGATTATTTACGAAAATTTATTGAAACAATGTTTAAACCTACTCTATCAATTTTGGACAATTTTGCCAATTTTTGAATAATTTATAATTTATATAATATAAAAAACTCTTTCAAAAAACGAATATAAATTATATTACGTTCAAAGGTTCATGACAAAATTTCAAAAAAAAAACAAAATCACACAATGACCGAAGAAAATGAATGATAGTAAAATATATTGTTAAATAAAATTATAAATCGTGACTTTAATAAGTACAGTAACAGAAATTGGCTTGGAGAGGCTTTTTGGAAGTTGAAACACTCACCATGGAATATATGATTCAGGGTAAAATTTCTCAATTTCATAATATTTTTTATAGTAAATCTAGCAATAATTTTGCTTTAATTTATTTTAAATTTGATAAAAACACACTCCTTAATTTTACTACATCTACCATAAAATCATCTTAGAAAATTTCTTATTTTCTATTTAATGAAGCGGGTAAATAGGAGCTATTTAATATAAATTATGGAAAAGACCTGAGAAACAGTACACTCTCCAAAGCTGCTGTAATGCACATGGAATAGACATTTAACCTCTTCTATTTCCAACTGTAAAAACAGCACTTAGCCTTATTTTACTAAACAATCGTTCAACATTGAGCATATTATGTCAATATTTTATCTCAGCGACAAGCCTGATCTGATTACTTACTCCTGAACTCTTATTATCTCTTTCGATTAGCGTGAATAACTTCTTTTTCAGTAATTGCTGTTAGAAATTACTAGGTTTCCAGGGTAGGAGTAAAGTCCTCTGAGGGTCACTACATGGTAATGTCGTTTGAAGGATCATCCAAACTTTGTGAATATTGTAAGAGTGATGTCTATCAAAATATTTTAAGATTTATTCGTAACTCAAAAATTAAAATACAATTTTATCGTTCAATTTACAAAAAAATAAAATTATCGAGAATTTATAACTTCCCCCCCCCCCTCCACCCTAACTCAGAATTACCTTAAAATTAAATTGTAAGGGTGTAAAAAAAAATATAAGATAATTATATAAACATAAAATTGTGCTCCTTTTGATAGCAAAATTAAAATTAACTTGGTAAAATAAAGAAGAACGTTTTTGGAAATGTTTCGGTTTAAAACTAAACATCTACTAAGATTTTTAGGGGGGGTTATCATTCCCCGTGATTCCAAATGCTTTCAATGATTGCTGCCGGCAAATAAATTATTATATATAAAAAAAATGGTTTATAAGATTTGGAAATAGGTCGAAAAATAATAAAATTGAAGAAAAAAAAACACAAAATAATAAATTTGCACATAAAATGATCGATGTTAAATAAAAACAATAAAATACAACACGATAGTCAGCGGGGATTGGTGGAACAATATTTGTTTTATGTTTTGTACAAATAACCATTCATGTTTGTAAACATGGTGTCTTTATTTAAAATTGTATCTCCTTGTATTTGGGTATCCTTTACTCTGGAAAAGATTGCTATTTTTATCTGCCAATAGATTTAGTTGAATATTAGAGAAAATATATTGGAAATATCTTTCCTAAATCTTTACATATAGATTATTATTTGTTGTAGGATATTGTAGCTCCATATTCTGATTGTATGGGTGTAATCGTTTCCTAATATGATAATATCATGGCCCACGCACAATTTGAATGGTAGTAGACGGTTTTAATCTGTCGCTTTTATATTTCTCTTATATAAATCTTTATTCAATATGCATATGGGAGACTCCGAGTCTATTTCGATATTATTAATATTATTGATAGGTGGCCTAGTTGGTTTATGATGTATGCTTGGAGAAGGTCCCAGGAATTTTCAGGTTTTTCTTTGATGACTTATGTGTAAGGGCATATGCTAGGAAGAATTTCTGAGCTGAGAAATGCCACCCCGGTTTTTGACAGGCTTGGACAGCCGGTTGCTAGGATACTTGTATAATAAACCAAAAATGAATGACCTCGTTGGCCATTCAAGGATGATAGATTGAATCGATAAGAATACTCCGGTGGGATATCTGTCGATATCGATACTTCAGTGTGAGGACAAGATACAACGGTCTCGATAGCGATACTCCGACGGAAGATCCAAATGGAATACAGAAGGAAACTCCGGTGGGGGGCATCAGAGATAGATAGCATGAATAATAAAGTGGAGAGAGAGCTCACCACCAGAAAATAGTGAAAGCTTAAGAGAAAAAAATAAAAAAAAAATTATTGATATTTTGTTAGAAGAATATAAATTTTCACATTATACATAAAAAAAAAATAGCTATATTTATAATACAAAATTTTTAAAAATCTTTAAATTAGACAATTTATTTTAATATAATGTAATGTAATCGTGATGAATTTATTTTTTAAAAGATTAATAACATCGATTTAACACTGCAAATGGTTTTTATTATTATAAGGCACAACTTGCTATGCTGGATAACAGAAAGAATAATTAATTGTGTTCTTCAAGTTTAATTATAACCGTGTTAATTCGCGTTGACATAAAAAATATCCTCAAATTTTGATATTTTTCATATTCAAAAACCATTATTTATTGCATCATTTTTTTTTTATTTTTTTTTTGTGTCTGTAAATGACTTTTCAGGGCAATTTTTCTCATTTTTTTTAAAAAAACGTAAATTTTATATTTAAAAAAAATATATAAATTTAGAAAATTATTTTAAAATTATTATATTTAAATATTGTAGTGAAGGGGAGGGGGGGGCATGGAGGCGTAAACCGATAATACTGCAAATATAGGCATAACACTTTCGATAAATACAAATCAAATCCTATGTTCCTCTTGGTAAGTAATTTATATATATATATATATATTTTTTTTTCCGGTCATAGGTTACTTTGTTTGTATATTTTACTGATATAATATGTCATCATAATGTAATAAGCATATAAATTAAATTTTTTTTTAAAAAAGATGAAATGAATAATGTAGGAATAGAGTGTTTACGTGAAAGGATAGGGGATAAAAAAAAAAGAAAGCTAAGAATATGGAAGGTTATTCAATGGAAGTGATAAAACTTAGTTAGTTTGAGATAATAATGGCGGGAGCAGAAGAGGAATTCCTTAAGCTGATCGGATTTTTCGCGAATCCGTTTGCCTAATTCTTTAAAAAAAAACGTCTGAGCTTTGCTACCGAAGGTGGTGAGAATGGAGCAGGCGATGGGTATGAATAAGAAAGAAGAGTCTAAGGAACTGTACTTGATGATTTTTCGAGATTCTTCGAAGGCGAGGGCATCGACTTTGTGTGATTAGAAGGTGCATTTGGGTCAAGTGTAGTAATTAAAACACTTACAAATTTGCTTTTATTTTTTTTTAAAAAAAAACAGATGTTCCTTGTTTTAACTTTAATAATTTCGACGATAGCCGCAGTGCGGAATACTTAAAGGTAAATATATACAAATTCTAATTATATTTTTTTTTATCGGTGGTTAAGAATCTCGCATCCCTAATCCCCCCCCCCTAATCTATCCAAAACACTGTTTTTTGCTTAAACTTTTCATTTAGCTCTAATCAATTTTTTTTGAATGTAACTCTTCAGTAAACAGAAATTATTTAGTGTCAGGCCCACGTTCATAACGAGCCTTAATATTAAAAAAAATATATATATTGGCAAGATATATAAAATATTATTATATTTCCTTAGATATAGAATTAGTATATACCTCCTTCATTTTTGATGAAGAAAATTTAAATTATAACAATTTTTTTTTTGCCAAATTTTAATCAACTTTGTCAAAAAAAAGCCCTAATTTTATTATAAAAGTTATTTATAGTTAATATAATAATTTTGAGAGTAGAAAAAGTGAAATTTTCTCCAATTTTTACGATATCGTATAACGAAAATATATGTAAATAATTTTAATATTTTTTTTTGGAAGATTTAGACGTTCAATCTAGCCATCATGGGGAAAAAAATAAAAAATATTGATTATATTTTTGCATTAATAATCCTGATATTCTTCCAGAAAAATTTATGAACTATTTTTTTCAAAAAATTTACTGGAATATTATATATTTCTTAGAAAAAAATTCCATGCCACTCATTCCACCGTTTAAAAGTAATCGAAAAAATATGCATTGTAAACCTTACGGGAATCAATACACGTCATTAAAAGTCATAATATTTGAAGTGACAATCTATTACTTTTTTTTAAAAAATATTCGATCCCCAACACTGCAATCATAATTTGAGTTAAAACTTAGGTAAACCAGGGGGTAATTTTATATAAATTTATTTTTTAAAAGTATTAATAGTTTGAATAGAAAAATCAAACGAAGATTCGTATTATGTATGTTTGGAAGTCTTTTATATAAGAGTATAAAAATTGTATCTGTATCTAGATAACTTTTTATACGATGTAATCTGTATTTCTATCTAGATCCATATGGCAAAACAACTCCCCTCAAATTTTCTACTTCTATTTCTATAAAATCATCTCAACAAATTCATTATCTTCTATTTGATATGCGAGAAAACGCTAAGAATTAAATTGAAAAAAAAAACAACTAATACCCATTTATATCTTTCGGGACTTTTGGACAACTATATGTGATAGTTGGTCCACACGTAAAATAGAGGTCTAAATATAAAAGTAATTTTTTTTTAAAAAAAAAATTAATTTTATCGATAAATTTAAAGATTCTAAGTTTTTTTTAAGTAATTTTCATTAAAAAAAAACAATTAAAATTAAAATATCATTATAAAATATATTAAATTAAATATTAATATTTTAGTTTGATATTAAAAAAATTTATTTGCATATATTTTTTAGTCAAAATGAAAAATAAATAAGCTTAAATTATATTTGGGAATCTTGTTTAAAGCTTTTAAATAAAATTAACCATTTCGTTTCTCTTCTCCTAGAATATTTTTCTTAATTCATTTTCAATTTTCCCCATGTTAATCTCGTTAGGTTTTATTTTGTTTTCTTTTTCTTAGGGGAATTCTAATAGTTGGGATTAGCCTAAAAAATAGACCTAGCTGTTCGTTGACATAAATGTTAGTAGTTATAACTTACTTATCATTGCTAAATAAAAAAATTTACAATTTCGATACAAAAAAAATAAATGGAAGATTCGGACAATGTTAGACAAGCTGGATGGACGTCTTGGGGTCCATTACGTAGACATGGTAAACAATTGTTATAATTTATATAGTGGGTGAATTCTACGACAAATTAACATGAATTTTAAACCCGATCCCCTCATAATTTTTTCTAAAATTTTTACTAAAGTTTGCACAGGCTTCAATTCCAAACAGCGACTGAGATTACAGGTCTCTAAAAGGTCAAAAAATGAAGCATTTTGGGCAAAGCTCTTTTCCTTTAATTTTAAATATCTTTGGATATAAATTGAGCTAAAAATCGTCATTTAAATTTCTTTATATAGCCTAATGGCAGGTTTTTAAAAATATATGATGCTAAATATTGTTTTTTAAAAAAAAATTTAACTGTCCAAAACCGGAAATGGTCATAATCGGTATTTTTTTTTCCCCTCTCTACAGAATTTGATAAGTGTACGAAATTTTAATTTTGGACCGAGCACAGACTTTGGTATTTCTAAAAAAAAAGATACCAAGCCCGGTGAGGCCCGGGTTTAAAAATTATTTTAGGCCCGAAGCACGGCTTTATTCGGCTACAAACATTACCAAAAGGTTAGCAGAAAGCTCAACGTTCATATGAGAATCAAATATTATGCATATCAGAATTAGTTTAATTTTTATAAGGAAAATATCACTGAAATTTAGGCATGTGTAGGAAGATGATGAATATGAAAAAAAATATTTTGTTTAAAAAGGTCAAACCCATTCCCGAAACTCAAAATCTCTTCTCTTCTCTTCTCTTCTCTTCTCTTCTCTCTTCTCTTCTTCTCTTCTCTTCTCTTCTCTTCTCTTCTCTTCTCTTCTCTCTCTCTTCTCTTCTTCTTCTTCTTCTTCTTCTTCTTCTTCTCTCTCTTCTTCTTCTCTTCTCTTCTCTTCTCTTCTTCTCTTCTCTTCTTCTTCTTCTTCTTCTTCTTCTTCTCTTCTCTTCTTCATACTTTTGCGCCACTTAGGGAAAATCAAATTATTTTCATATTTTGAAATATTATTGAATTTGCAAATATATAAAAATTAAATTTCAATAAAATTGTGTATGATTCAAAAAATCGATTTTTTTTAGTTATTTTTTTTTTTGAGGAGAATTCAATTTATAAAATAAATTAACCAAAGCCCCCCCCCCCCCCAGTATTACTTTATGATCTGTGGAATAACTTTTTTTTATTATATATTTTTTTGACTTATATTACAAATTAAGAATATTTGCAATAGGCTAATGATTAAAACGCCATATCTATTTGAAATTTTGCACATAATAAAAAATATTTGAAAAAAAAAGAAAAATATACCGATTTGGACCATATCCGGTTTTCTATATCCGGTTTTTGATTTTAAAAAATAATTTTTTAACAATATTTTACATTTTTATGACTTTAAAGGCCTACCATTAAGCTATACAACAACAACAAAAAATTTATATGACGCTTTTAGCTCAAATCTATTCAAAGAATATTTAAGTTTCAAAGGGATTAGAAGGCCCAAAATGCCCCATTTTTTTAAACCTTTAGAGGACCGTTTCTCGGCCGCTCTTTGGAGTTGGAAAAAGCTAAAAAAAACATTTAATATGCAAAACTCTCAGTAAAAAATCTTAGAAAAAATCTGAGGGGGTCGGCTTAAGAATAGTGTCTTTTAAATTTGTTTGATTTAGTAACGGGAAATTCACCACCAATACACTTGCTTATTCAATGCTAACATTTCTTTCACAATTTTTTAATAAAAAAAATAAATGTTCAGGAAATGTCCAGACATATCTGACCCATTCTACACCTGACGGAATTTGGGGCGCATTTTATGATAGATAGATAGATAGCAACCCTTTCAACTACTCTTGTTGTACCTGTCGATTAAATAATTGACATTTATGGACGTTTTTTCAATATTTTCACAGAAGATTAGGATTGTTTTTAATAGGACTAAAATCGGCTCTAAACGAGCCCATTAACAATACTAGTTTTAAATCGAGGAGAGAGATGGAATTTTAAATGTATAAAAATGTAATAAAAATGATGGGTTGTAAAATATTTATATATGAAGAAATAAAAGATAAATCTTAAATATATCGCTATTTTGATATAAATGTCTCCGTATGGGAATTCGGAATCTCTTGATTTTAAATCTTGAAATCCTATTAAACCGGAAGTGTATTCTAGCATGTGTTAGAGTATTTACCCTTTAAATTTTAGGCAATTTCAGCCACGGACATTTTAATATTTTTTTTAAAAAATTTATATGAAAAATCCATATGGAACATACGATATATATATGTATCGTGGGATGTAATATTGGTTTTTGATATTAATATTTGTATAAAATATTATAACGATAAAATGTAATACAAACTCATCAGAACTTTGATAATGATTTTATGGCAAATATCTTATTTATTTTTTAAATGAAAAAGTTTTAATTTTAATTTTTATTTAAACGTTACTCGATTATTTAAAACCCAAAAATTAAATTTTTAATATTTAATTTTATAATTTTAATTATTTTTTTTTTAAATAACATTTTTGGAATTTTAGAAAATAAGTCATTCATTCATGTATACCATGTTGAATATGTTTGATCGATGTTATTTTATTATTTATTTTGGCAATCAATTTTTTTTTTTTTATATATCAATTTGTATTTAAATTTAATCGGTGAAAATTTTATATTTTTTTTTCCGGTCATGGGGTTACTAGCAAATAATTAATTTTTTAAAAAGACGTGAAAAATTGTAGAAATAGAATTTACGGGAAAGGATAAGAGATAAAATGGAAGGTTATTCAATGGAAGAGATGAAGCTTAGATAGTTAGAACGAATGATGACATCAATTTGTATTAGTTATTTTTTTATTATTATTGTTTTTAAAAAAAAAAGATATATAAAGATAAATTAATATAAAATTTTCACCGATTAAATTTAAATACAAATTGATATATATAAAAAACAATAAATCTTGCCAAAATAAATAATAAAGATTTTTTGTCTCTTCTAAAATGGGTATGTCAATCATTTGTAATGACTGCCATATAGAAATATAACCTTGACCCAAGCTATTTGTTTTTATAAACATGGGCCCAGGTCAAAACCATGTATAAACTCCAGAGTTGTTAAAGGAAAGTATCTAGATCCTGTATCATATAAAAATGTGGTATCTGTATCTATATCTAGATAGATTTTTGATTAAATAATCTGTATCTAGATATTATTTTAGACGTTGTATCTGTATCTAGATCCATTTAAAAAGTATCTTTTAACAACTCTGATAAACTCTGGTAAACTACCCCCATTGTAACTCAAAATTTTTATCCTGATTTTTATAATAATTTTTTTAAAGTGGGAAAAGCCACCAACCTTAATCCACCCCTTAAATCAAGGTCTTTAATTTCTAATTTTTTTAGCAACAACTTATTATGGAAGTTAATTCAAATTTAAATTCCCTTAAAGCTTGGGAGAATCTTTTAACCTTTCCTTTTAAAGTCTTAATTAAACCTACAAATAAAAATAAAAAAATATTTTGCATGCATGTATAAAATAGACCATTTTTATGACTTAGAAATGGAATATTACGTTCCTGATGTAAGGGCTACATATGATTTTGCCCATAAATGCAAAATTATATCCAAAAAAATAGACCAAGGGGACGTATGTGGAGCTCTTAAATTAGCTTCATCTAATGATAAATTGGCTCCATTTGATGAACATACTTTCACTTTATTAAAAGAATTGTCCCAGGCTTTTCCTAAAGATCTTCCCATCCTTATAATATCTAATTTAATCGAAATAGGTAAGGAAAAACTAATTAATCCAGTTTTAACTTTTAATAAAAACTCTGAAGGGGGAATTGACGGTTTTCGCCCCTCTTATTTCCAATTTTTAATTAACCCTAAAAATCCTTATCAAGATTCATTTGTAAATTCATTGGTAATACTTAGTGAAAATTGAACAATGATTTACCTAGTCAAGTTCACCAAATTCTTTTTGGCGCAAGATTAATTGCTTTTTCTAAGCCTGATGGTGGAGTTCGGCCAATTGCAATATAGTCTTTTTTTAGGAGACTATTAGCTAAGATAATCGTTGAGCGCATCAAACCTGATGCTTCAAAAATGTTCCAAACATATCAACTATGCTTTAGTACTAAAGGGGGATGCGAAATAGCCGCTCACTCTCTATGTAATACCCAAAATTGATATGAATTTGTATTTATTGAAAAATGGGATAGACAGGGGGTAGTATTTTTTTTTAAACAATGAAGAAAAGGTTTCAAAATATTTTAATATTTCACCGCTCTATTTCAAATTACTAAAGTATATATAATATAATTTGAATAAAATATAAAAATAGTATATTACAATGTTTCTTCATCTCTCTATAATGTGCAAATTAAATTGAAATATAAGTTCACAAAATTGAATACATTAATAAAAAATAATTATGTAAATGAACGATAGGGACTTAAAATTAATCTATTTCAAACAATTTTCGAATATCAATATTCTAATAATATAATAATCTCTTGATATAATAATAATCATACCTCCATTGATTCTTCACTGCTGTTCCTGTAGTGCTCGTTCCTGTCATGCTTGATCATCATCGTCATATCATTAACTTGATCATCATCATTAGCTTCATCGCTCGCTGTTCATAATCATTTAGTGTATGTTGGGTAGAAGGTTGACTGATTAATGTCTTCATTTCATTTAAACTTTAAACATGTTCGGCTTCCCATTTTCCATTTTTCTTGTACTATTTTGTAAAAGGGTCTGCTAGGTCCGCAAAAATGTTCAAAAATTTTCTGTAGTAACTTGTAATTCCTAAAAATGTAGAAAGTTCACCATAAGATTCTGGCTCTGACACATTTTACCGCTTTGATTTTATCTCGATTAGGGCGTATACCTATCCACGCCTATGTTTATGCCCTAAATTTCTGATATTGGTTCGCGTGAATACGCGCTTTGCAAAATTGGTTGTGACCATACGTCAATATTCTTTCAAAAACTATATTTATGTTTTCTGTATGTATTTCGTCATTCTCACCACATAACTGTCAATATAAAATATCACACATACTTCATATCTCCAAATATTTGGCCCATGGCCTATTGAAATATTGCAGAAGCAGTTTTGAGACCAAGGGATAGTCTGGTAATTCTAAAGTACCCTATATGTGTTATGGTTAGCATGTCCCTAGAGTTTTTATCTATGGCAATTTGCAAAGATGCACTCTAGTCGATTTTGGTGAATTTTAGTTTCTTTTGATAGTATTGCAATTAAGTCATCTTTTCTTGGTATCAGGTACTTAAAATCTAGGATTAACTGTGGCTTTAAAGTCGGCACACAACCTGAGACTCCCATCTTTCTTAAACACTGGAGTTAACGGACTGACCCAAAGTACATTTTTTACGGGCTCAATTATTTTATTCTGTATTCATCTTTTAGTTCTTTACTATATCTATTCTAGACTATGGTACTCTTCTTAGCGGTATCATTCTTGGTATTGCATCTTGTCTTAAAAGAAGTTTACTATTGGTTTTTGATAGGTTTATTAGTCATTTTAGATTCGCGACTTTGTATAAGTTTAGTAAATTTGTCATTATAATAATCATCATCTATATATCCATTTCCTACAAATATTTTAAAATATTCTTGAAAGCACTTAGCCAAATTCTGACGAGCAACGGATTCTTATTGTAATTAACAACGATATCTTGCAAATTTTTAGTTACACCTTCGTGATTTATATTGATTTGCGTTGTACCTAATATTTTGGGTTGATTACCGTCATAGCCTGTTGATGTTGGTCAATTAATATACGTGCCTGAAGGTAGCTAGCAATGAACGCACATATTGACATCGAAGATCTTATACCAAGGCCGCCATATTTGGAAGTTGATGCCATGTCTGTAAATTTGTTATTTAAACAGTCGCTAAGGATGACTCTTATTCTGGTTTAGAATCTCACTAAATGCTCCCTCACTAAAAATAATGGGCTCGACCGTGGTGCATATAAAGGATTTTAGGGATGTGGAAGAAATTCCGAATTAAAAAAAAATGCCTAGTGAGCCGAAAGACAAGAAAGAAAGCGTTTTAAATTTTGAAAGATATCGTCCATATCGCTAAAAAAAAGAATTCACAGACTCCTCACCAATGGGAGAGCCCAAATGCGATAGATTTTTCAAGGGGACATGTTTAAAACCAAAAACATTTTGTGGAATTGAATTGATATCGCAATACTCAGTTTTGATTTGATTAATTGCAAGTCCGAGGCTATCAGTAGAAGCCTTAATAATATTGATAGCCTTTATCTCCTCTGCGGATTCGCCAGAGATGACCCCAACCATAAGTGTAAGGGCAGCTGCATTCATTGTTTATTTATGTAATCAAATCATGGATACCAAGACAAAATAATATGAAGCCTAGGGAACCTTACTGAATATCTTCAGAAGAGGTTAAGATATGATGGCCAAATACCAAATGTGATGGTTTCTTATAGGACGAGAGGATATAATTTGTAAAAATTGGGAAATGCTTTGCAAATTGTGAAATTATTACTTTTCTGTGAATGCTATCGTAAGCATATGTAATATCGATTTTTACAAGATGTTGAGCAATTGTATTATTTTGAGCATAAATACGAGTTATATAAGCAGCTGCTTTACAGCCTGAGCTCGCACCAACCCCAAATTGAAGAGGAAGAAGTATCTTTCTTTTCTTTTAATTTGTGCATATACACACATATATATTTTTTTTACCGTGACCTTTGAAGGTTAAGAAAAATATGCCGATGGCCATATTATCAACTTAAATATTAATTAACTCGATAAAATATAATAAATAATTAATTAATAAATTAAGTAAATAGGGATATCATAATAAAAATTTATAGGTGAGTAAGTTTAACCAGCTGGTAAAT